TAGACCTCTGTTGAACTACAACTCCTATACTTTTCCCATATTCCCATATATTTCAGGATGACAACCAGATTTTTTCCCCCTCCCCCCATCACAGATATGTCTGTATGAGTTGTTTTGAGAAGGAAAGAGATTATGCTCACTGGATCCCTCAGTTAGGCAACCCAGTGGGATGAGTCTATAAACAATTTTTTCTGCTAAAATTACTTTCATTCATTTTGACAGTTCTACATTGAGAGTGGATTCTAGTGAGGTGACTGAGGGAGACGCTTGCCCAGTTTTGATGGATGAGTTTCATTTTGTTCACCCTGAGGTGGAGTATTGGACAAGTTGTTTGGAGGGATGAGAACATACACTTGTTTGCTAGATCTTTGCTCAGTTCATCCTGCTTAGTAAAAACTGCCAGAGGGGCAATGTCTGGGTCAGTGGCAGACAAGAGTAATGTCTAAGCAACTTTACTAGGAGCATTTTTAAGCAAGATCCTGGGGTTAATGTTGGAAATCCAATTTCAGTACTCTACGGGTGAAGATTATTTACACATACATTGCAATGTAAAACCATCTTGGTTACTGTAGTCAATGATCTGTGCTGCAAAAAAACAGATAAAGTATAAAGAAGGACTAGGGATGACACAATAGCAGTATTCCAGGATTTGGGGAGCTGCCACAAAGCACCAGAAGGCAAGATCCAATGGATGGAAACTAATCAAGGAGAGAAGCAACCTGGAATTAAAGAGAAACTTCCTAACAGTGAGAACATTTAACCAGTGGAACAGCTGGCCTTTAGAAATCATGGGCACTGGATGTTTTTAAGAAGAGACTGGACAGTCTGAGATGGTATAGTTTCTCCTGCTTGAGCAGGGGGCTGGACTATAAGACCTCCAAGGTCCCTTCCAGCTCTATTCTGATTAATTGATTAATTAATATTCCATCCTGCTTAGTTTTGCTACACACTTCCCAGCAAATTTGATACAATCCATCATGGTATTTTTTCTGGAATATTTGGCTGCTATGGGATTTATTGGCACCGATTTGCAGCAATCCTGCTCCTATAATGTACTCAGAAATGCTGGGTACTGTTGCTCAGCATCCTGGACATTATTACAATTTTATTTTAGGGATAGCTTTGGTGGTTAACATCCAAATGAAGTCACTAAAAGATAATAAAGGGTCTGGAGATTGAATGCCATTAGTAATTTTAGTGGAGCCTTCTCCATAACAGATGCTAAGGAGTCTGTTGAAAGCCTGGAACATTGAATGGATGCTGTATAGAATGGTGAACAGATGTACAATTTTTTCTCTTATCAATATTTATCCCTTTATTTAATTTAACAGCATTTACAGATCACTCTGACAGCCTCTGTTATAAAGGGAATCTTCCACATGCTCCATTCATCTGCCTCTGGAGAGTGTAAACGCTCCATCAAGACTCATGGTACATCTGTGTATTTGTAATTGTGAGACCCAAAGTATTAATAAGCACACACATTCAAAACACAAAGATACCTTTGTGGGAAACAATCCAAGGCTAATATCTGAATATTTCACTTTCCATTAACATTTAAAATTTACATTCTTCCATCCAAAATAGATCCATTCACCCCATAATTTTTAATGAGGCCATTGAGCAGAAATTATCATATTCTAAGAATTCATATCCTCTCTCCCCTCCTCTGCCACTTCTTTCTTTTTTCCAAATACTGAAGCCTATTTTTAAAAAATAATAATCCAAGATTTAATAACTATCTATTTGGGAAGGCTCTGGAAGATTCATGCATGTCAAAATACATAGCAACAGCACTTAGACTTATATACCGCTCTACAGCCCTCTCTAAGCCGTTTACAGAGTTAGCATATTGTCCCCAACAATCTGGGTCCTCATTTTACCCACTTCAGAAGGATGGAAGGCTGAGTCAACCTTGAGCCTGTGGGATTTGAACTGCCAAATTGCAGGCAGCCGATAGTCAGGAGAAGTGGCCTGCAGTACAGCACTCTAACCACTATGCCACCAAGGTTCTACATAAACACACACCCCAAAAATACCCTATCATGCCTTATAAGATTTAAAAGATGTTTGCCTTTAGTTTACCCTATAGGAAACCGATTTGTGGGAGGAGAGAATATCTGATGCTAACAGGCGAACATTAGAGTAAGGGGAGGGAGTGTATTGCATGTTGTAGATATCAACCATAAGAATATTTAAAAATCACCCCAAGAGACTAATGTAGCACTGCTGGAAATGAGGACAGTTTGAACCAGCATAAAGGCCTATGAACTTGGCTTAACTGGAATGGGATACCAGAAAAATGAACTCATGTGGAACAGAATATAACAGGCAGATATAACAGGCTTCCAAGAATTTTCTTGGGATAGGTAGATGATAGATAGATAGATAACAGTGGTGGGATTCAATTTTTTTTACTACTGGTTCTGTGGGCGTGGAGGGGAAGGATACTGTAAAATCTCCAGTCAGAGGTGGAATTTGCTGGTTCTCTGAACTACTCAAAATTTCTGCTACCGGTTCTCCAGAACTGGTCAGAACCTGATGAATGCCACCTCTGAGATAGATAGATAGATAGATAGATAGATAGATAGATAGATAGATAGA